GGCGGTCGCGCGTGGTGTCGGCCACCCACCCCCTCGCGTACCGTGCCGGCCTTTATAGGTGCTCGCTCACAGCACTTGCCCCTACAGTCTATTCAGGCTACACGGGGGAAATGTTGTCTTTTGTCTTTGTGTGTAAAAATGGTTTTGCCCGTCTGTTGGTAACGATTAGAAGGCCACGGCAGCCGCGCGGCACGAGGGGTTACGTGGAAGATGAGAAGGTGGTAGGGCAGCAGCAGCAGCAGGAGGAGCAGAGTTGGGGGTGGTGAGACACCAGTGGTGGATTATGACGTCAGAAGAGACGGTAGGATGAGAACTATGGGGGGGAGGGAGGTGGGGGGCGCGTGTGTGGTGGTGTAAAAAGGGGGGGGGGGTGATGTGGTGGATACTGGTGGAGGGAGGGTGGAGAGGATGGAGCGGTGGTGTTGGGGGTGTGCATATGCGGAGAGATGGGGCTTTGAGTTGGGGCTGTTGAAGTACAGAGGTTGTCAGTGGAGGAGAGATTTGCCTGGTGGAATAATTTACATCAATGACCTTACGTATTAATAGTGCAATTCAGTTTCAGTGGTGGGGGGGGGGGGGGTCTCAGCCCCTGCCAGACGCGCATTGGCCGTGCTGCTGGTGGAGGGTAGCGCGTGGATTTCAACGTTCGTGTTTGAAATTCAGATTTCGTGAATGCACTGTAATGTAAATGTGCAAAAGGTGCCGGTGACTGGCAATGGTTTTGGGTTACGTTATGCAATGTGTGTGTGTATATGTATTGTTGCATGATGCAATTTATTGTCATACAGAGTTGAACAAAGCACAAAGTTCCCCGATGGTTTTACTACGGGGACCGTGATTCTCCGTTGCAAAACGAGACGGTAAATATCAATGGGCTGTCACCGTAACATAAAAACATATTTTTGTTGTTATTTGAACCAGGCTAGAAACCCACGGAGGCAACAAATTCGGTCTGCACGGTGGATCTGGCAGAAGCGAGAAGAATGGAGATGACATTCTTGGATGGTTAAAAGGTCGTGAATACACAAAGGTGCAGTCCTGAACGTATCTAGCTCACGCCACACTCGGTGGAAAGGCGCCCCTCCACTATACGGAGCTCTGGAGAGCCTCTGTAGAGGGTTATTGGCCTACTCTTCCACGCTGGCCGGACGTCTATGGAAGAAGACGTGGTAATAGCCACACTTTACCCCGCAACACACGACCTTCCAATCAACGGTGATGTACAGAGGTGGGGAGGTTTAGAGGGTAGTGGACATCTTTAAAAAATAACTCTAAAGATCTCTATAACTCATCGGACTCCTCCAGTATCAATACAGATTCTAATTCTGAAGAAACTTTGCCCATTCCTCCCACTGCCATTCCGGGAGATCGACTCGAAGCGGATGCCTCTGGTTTGTACCTTACATTGTGCGGGCCATCTGTGCACATTTCCCTGCAGATGCAATGCTATTAATACTGTATCGTAATCAGTAATAATTCAAAGCATAGTGCATTATTCGGCTGAACTGGTGGCGTAAAATCCACACTGCTGTGCCAATGTTAGGATACTACATGCATACAGGCAACATTTTAGATGTGCGCAAATAATACAAAAATAAATCACGCTTAGTGGATTAGTATTCAAGAACGTGTGGAAATACGCGCGAAAACGGACGCGCCTTGCCACGCGCTGGCACACGGCGAATTCGTCGATTTGTAAAGAACGTGTTGACATCACGCCGTCAAAAAAAAGTGTACAGTATTCGCTAAAATACACCCACAGCGGTCTTTCCATACAGTTTGTATTTCATCGACGCATCTCTGGCACATCAGTAACGTTGACCCGTGCGGGTGTGTTTTCTTTCCGTCGCTTTAGAATGTTTGTAGGTTTTTATGTTGGTTTAATTTCAAACCACTCGCGAATCAAAGTGTGACGGGAATTACACAAATTCGTATGGCTGGGTAGGAGGTGAGTCTAACACCGGGACGTCATCCGTGGGGGAGCCGTCACACTCTTCCACGCGGTGGCACAGACGTCACAAGGCGTTCCGGACCAATCACGTCCCACCCACTGCTGCCCACTCTCCTGACCCCGCCCCCTGGGGGACTGACTCATCAAACAAAGACAAAGCTTCCCCGGTAGAGCCCTTTGGCAGACTGTCGGGGGCAAGTGCTGTTAGCGAGCACCTGTGAAGGCCGCCACGGCTTGGGTGTGCCGGCAGACTTTTTGTCTCCCCAGTATTCGTACCCATTTGAGGCTGAGTCGATCTAGGGGGAGGCTCGTTATCGGGTTTAGATGTTCGTCACCGATGTTAGCCGTGAGCTGGAATCGAGCGCAGTGCGCTAACCACATCAACTACCGCTCATCACACGGACACACATCACACGCTGACAAACACACACAGACGTGTTGTCACACCCAAGGCTGGCACAAGATAAGCATCCCCCGTATAGCCTTTGGCAGACTGTTGGGGCAAGTGCTGTTAGCGAGCCCCTATGAAGGCCGGCACTGCTGGATGAGGGCCGTCTCCACACCACGAATTCACCCACCACGAGTTGCATGGCTGGTCACTGCTGGGAGCGTAGACACTGGAGCGCGGTACAGTACAACCGTGGATTTTCAGCCCTCTCTGCTGCCCACAATCTTAAAGGTGCATTGAAAAATGTTGATACTCCGACTGATGCTCCTATTGTTGTGGAGTGACTCATGCAGCCAGCTATGGCTGCAGAGTTTGGTAGTACATGTTGTTTACGTCGTTAATTGTGAAAATTCGGTCACAGTTCCTATGACCACTGTTTCATCGCTTTTATGGCTTTATTTTGGTGATTTTCGAAAAGTTTTTTGGTTTAGCCATGTTTGTTTGTTGTAGTACAGAGTGAGACTGATGGCCTTAATCTAAGTTGTCTTGTGGTTGTTGTTGTTGTTGTCTGACTTGCATCCCACTGGGATTTTTGCACACAGTGTTGGTGTACGGTGCTTTTTCTGCAATATTTTGCTGTCTTTCTTGGATTTTCTGTTTGCACATAGTCACTTTAAGATGGTTTCTTGTTCATGTTTTTTGTTTGTTGCGGTTGCACCCGATTCAAGAGCCGAATGGCTCACAGGGCTATACCTAATACATGAACTTGAACTTGAACAATATATCCCCGCAGCAGCATATACCGCCTGCTTTGTGCATGGTGGTCGCCAGACCAAGCGATACCCAGTCACAATCCTGCTCCGATCAGCACGGTTGGTTACGTACGGTGCAGAGGTTCATCATACATACATACATGACGAGATTGGGTGCATTCCAGATAACACTGGTCAACAAAAAAAAAGCATTTTTTTCTGCCATGGACTTTTGCAGCTGTTTTAGACTAATTTCAGGGTGCTGATTCAAAATCTGATCTCAGATTTGCTCTATCACATCTCATTTGTATGCTATCGCCATACCCCGTTTTCATTGATTTTACCCGAAATTAACTCTGTCACTTATGATTGCAAGTTGTTGCGAGTCAGTGACTGCTTTAGTGTTCAAACATGGTGCTGTATTTTTAGGATAGTGTGTTTATAATATCATTTTATGTAGATATCCACATTTATTTAATATGTTTCTTCTGCAGTTTTTATTGAAAATTCTATATTTGATATCTCAAAAACCTGATATGATAGATAAAAACTGATGCCAGATTTGGAATCAGCACCCCAAAATTACATTCAACCCGTTGGAATACCTTATGCCAGAAAAAGTGTGTTGACCAGTGTAATTTGGCCACGGGCCTAAAATATATAGCGCTGTGGGCAACGAGTCAGCCTACATTGTCCATTTGAGTTCATAAAATATGTTCCACTTTGTAGGAAGTCATCAACTATGGATAGAAGCTGGCTGCAGTCATGGGAATGTGCAATTGGCACTCGAGGCAGATGAACGCCGCCTGTTGTATTGGTGTTGTGAGCAGGACGGTCTGAATCGACTTTGAACTACAGCAAGTGACGTAGTAACGACGTTGTCAGTGACGTAGTAACGACGTTGTCAGTGACGTAGTAGCGACGTTGTCAGTGGGGTAGTAACGACTCGTAGCCTTGGCCAGGGGAAGGCACTTCCCCCCTAACCCACACTAGTCACGCTAATGAACTACGGTCATCATCAGCAGCAGCATCAGCAACTATATATACACACACACTGACATCCTTGGAGAGCTCTTTGGTCTTGGCCATGGTGGAGAGTTTGTAATCTGATTGATTGATTGCTTCTGTGAATAGGTGTCTTTTATACAGGTAATTAGCTAAGATTAGGAGCACTCCCTTTAAGAGTGTGCTCCTAATCTCAGCTCGTTACCTGTATAAAAGACACCTGGGAGCCAGAAATCTTTCTGATTGAGAGGGGGTCAAATACTTATTTCCCTAATTAAAATGCAAATCAATTTATAACATTTTGACATGCGTTTTTCTGGATTTTGTTGTTGTTATTCTGTCTCTCACTGTTCGAATAAACCTACCATTAAAATTATAGACTGATCATTTCTTTGTCAGTGGGGAAACGTACAAAATCAGCAGGGGATCAAATACTTTTTCCCCTCACTGTATACACACACACACTGCTGCAGATGAAGGCGAACCGCACAACATATTGGGCATGCGAGAGAGGCCCTTCAGGACGGGTTCAGGTGTCACTCGTCAATGACGTCATCCGCGTGGCTGAAGAATCTCAAACCCCAACACACCGAGTTCACGAGTAAAAACGCAGTGCGCTAACTCGTGCGCCACCGCTCCATAAAACAAACAAAAAAAATCATTATTAATTATCACGATGCTCGTACTTTTAGTCACGCTGGAAAATCGAATGATATTCGCATTAAAATAACAAGACCCAATAATGTTCACCGACTACAGCATCACAGCCGTCGTCTCTGCAGACCAGGATCGTCACGGAGCGCACGCGAGCCCGCCCACGCGTGAACCCCCCCCCACCACCGTCTCCGCTCTCCGCAAATCCCTCGCTCTCCTCTGCGCACTCTCCCCTCTGCTCTTTACATCTCTCTCTCTCCCCTCCCTCTCACTCTCGCCGACCGGCACGATCACGCCGTGGATCACGCGCGCTCCGATTTTCATCTTCGTCGGACGCGAAGGTCAGCATCGTCGCCCGCGGTGCGCCTATTTGACTGCCGCAGTATCGAGTAGAATCCAACGGCGACATTAACAAGATCGTCGTCTTCGATGCCGTGATCGTTGTTGCACGCAGGAAGGAGGAGAGAGAGAGAGGTATATATCGTGGCGTTGGTCTCTGACTCAACAGGCGCTCACTGCGTGTGTTGCTTCGTGTGTGTGCACGTGCGTCGTCGTGTGGTCCACGCACGCTTGAAGGAGATCGAGAAAGACTTCCAGAGGTGAGAGTGCTCCAGAGACGAAGTTGGAGGCGAGAGGCTCAGGTTGCAAGGAAAAGGTGAGTGGGGGGCGGGTGGGGGTGGTGGTGGTGGGACACTTTGAAGCGAAATTTCTAGGCAAGGGGAGTGAAACGAGCAGTGGAGGCGAGCAGAAACTGATTGGAAACCAGGCTGCGAGAGGAAGGAGAGAGAGCGAGAGAACAGGCTGAAGAGAGCGTGGAAATATTATAAGCTCGGAGAGAGGAGAAAAGAAGATTAGTGGGGAATATATAGACGAGCTGCAGAGAAAAGGGAGGGATCGCAGAGGTAATGAGAGATCAGATCGGAAACTAGGATAGGAATGGCATGTCGTTTATAGCGACCATTAGCGCTAAGCAGAGATATATACACGAGTGTAGGGGTAGGGAAGCGTGTGCTGTTGTTTTTATTCGCCAGAGACGGGGAGGTTTTAGTGGAGGACCAGGCGACACCAACGATTGGAATTTGCCGCTCGCTTAGACTGCCCCTCCCACCCACCACCCCCGTGTCTCCCTGTGCGCTCCTCAAGGTGAGATGACCTTCCCCATCCATGCCCCCCCCCCTCCTCCACTGCCCCTTTCCCCATCCTGGTTTGTCGCTGCCCAACTTTGCCCCGCAGGTCCACCCACTGACCTTTCACGCCCTTCCTCAGTTGTCGTCGTTGATCTTTCCTTCATCTGTGGGTTGTTTCTATTTACAAACCTGCCCTTCCGCTTTCCGACTAAGGTTGAAAGCGTTATCGCCTCGGCTATGTTTCTCTGTCTCTCTGTAACGCGGTGGAGGTGGGGGGGGGGCAGCAATGATGATAAGTCTAACGAATAGTTCCGATGACAGACGCGTGTGAAAAAAAATCGATGTCGAAATTCATGTATACACATCATTGTTTTCTTCCTGGTTTTCCGGGGTCCTGCTTTGCCCTTCAATGCCCTTCTCTGCCGTGCCCCCACCCACCCACTCCCACCCTTCTCTCCTACAAAGTCCTCTTCTGAGCCGCCGCCGGTGTGTGTGTGTGTGGCACGTGAGTGACCATGAGATTTCTCAACTCCCGTTACCCACACGCGCGCACACACTGTGGCACCTGTGCTCAATGCAATGTGTTGGCTGTGGTTCGTGTGTCACGAACGCAAAGCTGCCAGGGCACGTGCGACGTCTGTGCATACAGATAAAGCGTAGTGCCGGTAGCGAATGATAACGCGTGTGTGTTGCTCGCTTTCGCATATTGCATCGGCGTATGCTGTGATGTGAGTAGAGATTTTGCAATCTATTTACGTAATGTTCTAATTGCATCATTATTCAAATATGCATGCTCCAAACGATGTATGCGCGTTGCTGTGGTGCATCGTAAATTATATCAGTTGCACTTGCTTGACACAGCAGTAACCAAGAGCAGGCTTCGCACTCACACATATATGCTATGGTTTCTTCATGTGTTCTGGGATGAACACATTATCTCAACATTTCGGGCCACTACCCTTCGACAGCGCAGATTTTGCTGGTTGCTTTTATGAGTGAACATGTGTGTCCTAATTCGTCATATCCGTCAATAACGACAACCCCATCGAAGCGACTGCGTGTCGTTGTACGTTCGCCCAATGCACTGGTAACGCACGATCAGTCTAATGACATTTTCCTGGAATGCACAATAATAATAATGTCATAATGATGCAAAACGTGCTGCTCCGCACTGTCACAATGTGCAGTGCACATATTTGTCTGCTATGCGTTCGTTGTTCATATGCACTTCGTGTAACATATCTGGGCTCTGGTGCACTGTGCGTGACATATTCTAATGAATGCTTTCGTCATGCATGTATATATATAGAGAGGTATCTCAATAATGCATAGCATCATAATTATCCATGCTACGTCCACTACCGGATGAATGCCTCAGAATATATATGGGACCTTTGTTTGCCAGGATCAGAGTATATTATTTTTCATCTCTCGTAATCTTCATACAATTTATGGAGAAATATTCGTCTTCTTGGTTCTTTCGGTAAAGTCACGTAGAAGGGAAGTAATAAAATAATAAAAAATAAAACATAATTTTTGTTTTAATTCCCTTCTACGTGACTTTACCTAAAGAACCAAGAAGATGAATCCCTGCAGTCACGAAAGCTTTAAATCGAAAAGCAATATTCGATTTTGCGCGCTGTATTGTCATTACGGAGCAGTTGCGCAGTGGTTCGTTAGCACGACGCGTTGTGAGCCCGGCCATCAAAGTTGCATTCCCGGCCAAGGCTTGACATCAGTGGCGGGTGATATGTGGAATGGTCTCCCCCCACCCCAATCCCACCCCACCACCCGCAACGGGTACCGACCAGGAAGATCAAATAACCCTCGCGACCTGCACGGCATGGGGAGACTTTTAACCAGCAGGGGATCGACAACTGGGCGCAAATGTTTTATTCAAATGGTGTCGGCACTATGCTGCAATGTATTCTGGACATGTACAGCGAGCACGGATATTCGTCTCGGTGTGACAAGCAAAGGGCGACTGTGTATGTGTGTTTAGCGCAATGGCAAAGGTTTAATTTGAGTTCGACCTGTATCCCCCCCACCCTCGGTGAACTCCGCATACGGTGGTAGTGTGGTCGTGAACATTGATACTGGGAAGACAAAGGTGGCAGGGTGTGTCATCGTGTGTGGAGCTGGCCACACCACCCATTCGCGTGCCACGCTACGTTGAAATATTTTGCCTTTGTTGTCAGAGTGCAACATTCATTGAGCTTGCCCCTCCTTTCACACTTGAAATGTCTATCTTTCCCTCCTTTCCTCACCACTTGTAGGAGCCGGCTCACGGTCTAGTGAAATGTTTGTGGGTTTTATGACGATTAGACCATAGTTTTGCGAAAGAAACACGGTCGGATAAGTGACGGGAGATGGCGATCGCTCTTGGAGGCCTTCATCCAAGAGTGGATTGATCACGGCTCATGGTGATTATGACAAACATTGGCTTCACATAAGAGTACACGTGAGTAGACAGTATTGCCAAGATGGACACCACTTTCAAGATGGCCACCAATAGTGCTGCAGGATGGTGAAATATTTGTGGCTTTTAAAATAAAGTCACCAACATTGGCAAAAGCTAGAGGTCAGCAAACGTTGGGTCAACGTTGGGCATGTGGTTGTAACTGTTGGACGAACGTTGGGAAAGAGAAAGAGAGATGTAAAGTGAGCCAATAACAATGCAATGTTCATTGGCAATTCCTCAGTTAGTTGGCGGCACTTGCCCGGTCCTAATAACAGTGTCTGACGCCTAGGGCTATGGGGCCCTTCAATTATTTACAAAGATGGCCGCCATTCTCAAGGTGACCGCCAAAAACGTTGAAAATAAAGACTGATGATACCGATCAATCGGATGCACCGATGGTCTGTATCCGGCCGTATTTTACGATTAGGTTCCAGCTGCAAGGTGAAAACTCAAAAATGTGAAAAACAGATAATAACATTTTGTTTTTGCTTCAAAATACGTTAACATTTTCTACACATTCCATAAGAATGTGTGAAACATTCCATAAGAAGGTATAAAATAAATACGTGAAATGTCACGTGCTTTGTGTAGCCTTTATGGTCACATGATGCGTGGGGATCGAGGTTGGGGGTCGGTGTTGGGGGGGGGGGGCTGGAGAAGTATGGCGACTTTGGTGAGTCCAGTACTCATGTGCTGTTATCGCTATCCCGTATGCCCCTCCTGTCTCTCTCATCTCTCATGCCTTTTCTAAATACATCTCATATCTTTATTTTATCTGAATGCGTATATCTCCTGTATCTTGTATCTCATTTGAATGCATCTCGTATCTTAACTAAATGGATTTATGTCCGATCATCTCTCATATCCCTTCTGAACCCATATTTATTCATATAATCTATGATATTGTCTGAGCGAATCTCCTATTGTCTCTCATCTGAATGACTCTCTTTACCATAACCTGCCTCTTATATTTCATGCATTCTCTTATCTCACCTGGATGCATCACTCACCTGTCATCACTTATCTAAAACACACCCCAATCGAGGTGCAATTTCCAAAAGGTCCAGAAATTACTGCAGAAAGTAGACCTGACTTACCAAATCAATTTGCTTTAGAATAACAATCGGCAGCTCAACAAAAAAACCCCAAAAGAGGTTTTTGTTGTCTGTCAAATTAATTAAAAATGAAATTTTAATGGGATTCTATTCTTTGTAAATGGCGACAACGTGGATTATGGGAATGTCTTCGAGGCCCTCGGTTTCCCACTTTGTTGAAGTGAGATTTGCCATTGCCAGCATCAGCCTCTCCTCGCCATCGCTTCCCTTGACGACCCCCTGCACCTTCGGTCATCGATACTGAGCAGGGTTGGCTGCGAACGGTGCAAAAGAAGTTCCACATACATTACGGCCGTGTGGTTCCTATAATTTGAGACCTTTTAGAATCTGTGGATGGTAGAGAGGGATATCGCCTTTTTGGATTCTGACAGCTGAGTCGCACCTCATGTTATTCCATCAAATGTCCCGAGATTGCCATGGAGTTCCGTTGAAATAGTAGCAAGATGCCTCTTTAACTTACTGCGTAGGCTTTCGTGGCTGTGCTGTACTGCTGTCCGATGTGTCTACGAGTTGTTACCGTGCGTCGTGCGGGGAGCTTCTTCAATAACTGAATTAAATTTTTATTCAGGAACTGAATTTGTGTAGACTGTATTCAGTTGCTGAAGAGGCTCTCGACAGGTGGAGCAAAACGCCGGACCTTATGCCGAACAACACATTGTACAACATAAACATACATCCGGGAACTTCTTTAACTTATAATTTGCTTCAATCACAGTGCGTAGTGATTGAACATTATTCTAGAAATGACCATTACACAAAGGTGGAATGTTA